GGTTGCGCAATTCCTTAGCTTCATGGAACGCTCCTCCTTGATATTTTGTGGTGATCTCTGCTTGGATAACTCCGCCTTGTGTCTCGGTTATTTGATGTGTTTCTTTGTCAGGTCGCCTTTGATCTCTTCTTTTGATTTCTTTTTGTCTCCATCCAGACTCCTGATTCTGAGCTTGCTTTACCTTGATACATCTCCTAACATTTCTCTTGGTCTTGAATCCTTTCCTTTCTTTACTTCTTGACTTCTCATGCTTCACTCATTCTCAACTCATCTTCATAAGTCTTTACTTGCTTGCCTTGGTCGCTTGAGTTTCTTCTCAAAGGTCTCCAAACTTCTTCGTATCTCTTCACTTGAATAATAATTGAGTCATCCTCTTGCTTTTACTTTTCCATAACACTCTCATTTTTTTTTTGATACGAATTTGTCCATCTTCCTTCCTGATTACTCCAACCATTTTCTCGATCTTCATTTTCCCAAATACTGATGAAGTCCTTTCCCACGAAGTCTTGTTTCTTCCCATTTGTCCAGTCCATACCACTGTCCAATGTCCAGTCTCTCTGAACATATCTTCACTCTTTGTCTTCGGGTTTGGGTTTTTGGCCTTGAACTCTCTTCACTCTAAGGTTTTCATCCCTTAAAGTTTCGATCAACGAACAAACTTACAATCTGCAACTTAAAGAACACTTCACATGCAAGTTAGTCAACAACTAATCCCATAAATAACTAACCAAGCAACCTAATCAAAATTCTACCCAATCAACCTAATCACACTGCTAACCAGCAACTTAACAATTCTAGATTCCACTATCTCAATCCTAGTTCCTAAACCAATAAATCCTACGCTGGAAACGACCGGTGCCTTAATGCTTTATGTAACTCTTTTTGACTCGATAAAAATTGTGAAAACCGATTAAATCATGAGTTTCGGAAGCATGGACGAAAACATGATCTGATACTACCTCTGTAACACCCCCAAACCATCCTAGACATATGGTCGACCAACCAGCCAACAATCAAACAAGAACATGACCGATCGACCGACCAACACCAAGGTTGGAGATGAAAGGATAACCGGCCAGCCAACAATCAAATAAGAACATGACTGACCGTCCAACTGAACACCATGGTCCGGAAGAGCTACATGTTGGGCTAGGGACGATCTGGTCAGAGTCACAAAATTTACTTCACGACTTAAACCAGTTCATCTGATAACTCGTCCTGCTAAATAAAGGCATAAAGCTGTGAAACTCGTACCAAGAGTTAACGGTTTCTGCTAGATCGTAGCCTAAGGCTTTTCAACCTGTACAACGACCTAATGTTGTGTTGGACAAGACTAGTCAAATATCAGAGTACTCAAGATATGCATATAAAACAAATACATTATTGGTTAAGAAAATATTCATACATGAATATTTCAAGACTGAGCCCGGTCTAATGCCAAATAACATTAATCAACCAGGTAGTCACTCCCTTACCAAAAGATGACTAACCTCATTCAACCAGCATTAATTAAATAAACAATCACTCAATCAAACTGTTACCCAGATAGTTCAACATCCCATATGAAACTATCTTTAAAGATAATGGGAACCTGCACTCAACCATATGAACACACAAAAATAGCAAACATAATGCATCCTAGACCTATTCCTAGTCAGGTTATGAATTTAGTCTTCATTCCATTTATTCTCAGCTTAGCCTGTACTAAACTGAATCCGGTTTTAATAAATAACATAACTCTAAGAACTCTATCATGCAATAACGTGAGTATCTTACTCTATATGAATACCGTTCTATATCCTAAGTTCCAAGTGGAACTCAAGCATTACCGTAAAACTATCCTAAATTCCTAGTGGAATTCACACAAAACCAACTCATAGTGTTCTAGGCGAGAAGCTGATTGTTGATCGGGGAGGACTTGGCCAAAACCCAATGGATGACTTGAATGGACTGGACCGGAATAATCTTGACTTGGACAGAACCTCCCCTGAGACTGTACTTGAATGGACTCACCTCGAACAAAACCTTCGCTAGCTGCTGCACAGTCTTTCGGAACCTCACTTTTTCAGAACCGGCAGTTTTTTCAGTCTTCGGAAATGTTTAAGCTTCTAAAGTACCTCACTTTTTTCTCTTTCTGTCTCTAACCCAGTCTTTAAGTGTCTTTGGTGTGTCTGGGATGAATGAAATTTAGCAGGGGAGCTAGGTATTTATAGAAGTGGCCGGCCAGTAAGGACGAGCCACCCAAGTGCATGTGTGTCGTCCTGCATGCTTCCGGTCGCATGCGAGGCGACACATGGGCATACACTTGCCCTCTTGCATGCTCCCTAGTCATGCCAGGAGACACCTCCATGTACATTTGTCCCTCAGAATGTTTGGAGTTCATGCGTCGCGACACACGGGCCTCTGCATGTCACTTCGCATGCGCATATCACAGGTACGGCGACCCCTTGTTCTTCTGCTTGTCAAGCTGTATGTGATTGCTTCATGCATGGCTACACCTCCTTCTTGCGTTGAAACTCAGCTTGTTATAGGATAGACAACACGTCCTGGCCACAGAGATAGAGACACCTCGAGCTTCTCAGTCGATTTGCGCGATTTATGCCTTTCTGGCAAATTTTCGACCCACAATCACCCGAATATTTTTCCGCTCCTGTTATGATGTGCTGAATATTTTTAATAAACTCCAAAAGAATTATGACTTTGATGGAAAATATTCCCCTGAGCTTCTGGCTTCCCCGAAAAATTCCATAAATCGAAATGCTTCTTTCCCGTTGTGCTTGCTTCCTGTCCTGCTTACTTCCCGTCCTTCTTACTTATTGTCAAACTTACTTCCCGTCGTTCTTACTTCTCGTCTTGCTTACTTCCCGTCGAGCTTACTTCCCGTCGAGCTTACATCCCTTTGTGCTTCCAAAAATTTTATGCTTCCAATACGTGTGTCTGCTCAATCTAAGATAATTTCTAACATGGTAGAACAGCTTATTTCGTCACATGGTTCACCCACGATCCATTTTTAAACCTCCTCGAACTTCGAAACTCTCGATCGATCATTATCGCCCGCGATTCGACCACCAAATAGATGATCGACCAGTCTTATATTTTTTCCGATCAATGTCAAATTTTATGTGACCAAAACTCAATATTTCTCATCATCTTTTGTTTCCCAAACGCTTGCTCCAAATTCTAACTTTATCGATATGGACCGTTTTGTCCCGAAGGGTGGGTTATCACAATGGAATGTTTCAGTAAGTGAGATTCTAAGGTTTCTGAAGAAGTCTGGTTATTTTTAACTGATGTTTGTGAAAGGAGAGACGAGTGGCTGCCGTCGATGAATTTTATGTCTGGCGGCCATTGGAAAAGTTGCAGGGAACCCTTGAAGAAGATGAGAAAAATTACATTAATGCTATTACTGAAAAAAAAAGAAAAAAATGAATATTGTTGGAGAAAAGTATTAGAATTGCAAACTGACCAATTTAGTTTTTATTAACATTTATAACATACTTATTCTATAGCTCGACTATTCAGTCAAAGCTTAAACCAAACATTAATAAAACATAATAAACAGATATAGTAATAATAAAAAAAAAAAAACCCTATCCGCAGCTCTGATGGTGATTGCGATCTCATGAGATAAAGTGACGATTTGTTCAAACTTTTGATTCCTTCTTTGGTGATCGAAAGGTTTTTCCTTAGATCGATCATTGTCGGCTGAGTGAGAATCACTAATCATACATCTGATCCGATTTCTTCTACATTACGTAACCAGTTATGCAAAACTTGTGCAGCTGTTTCTCTTCTGAAACTTAGACCGATCTCTCCGTATCCTTGTACGGTAGTATTGGTTAAGGATGGCGATAAACAAAGGGAAAGGAATCCTGCTTAAGGAGGACGATGATGAGCCAATACAACTCCCAGATCAAGCCGATGAGAGCCTCATCAAGGAGTATAGCTTATCTCTTATTGGTAAGATATTAAATCCCAAAAAATAGAATGTGGAAAGGCTAATCATAGCTATGGCAGAGCAATGGGGGATGTCTGACAAGATAAGTGGATGTGATCTTGGTAATGGACGCTTTTTGTTTAACTTTGACAGTGAAGAGGACCTTATGTCTATTCTTAATCAAGGGCCATTCCATCATAACTTTTGCATGTTTGTGCTAGTACGTTGGGAGCCAATAGTGGAAGAAAACTACCCTTCGCTGATCCCGTTTTGGATCCATCTTCAGGGTATCCCACTCCTTCTCTGTACTGAACAAAACTTACAAGCAATCGGAGACAAGCTTGGGAGGGTTGTGATAATTGACACTACTGAAGGAAAGATAAACGTTGCTGTGGATTACTCCAAACCCTTGAAATTTTCTAGAAGACATCAAACCAGAAACAAGGAGGATATTACCATCAAGCTTCAATATGAGAAGCTTTTCAAGCACTGCAAAACATGTGGTCTTATGACATATGAGTATACAGATTGCGTGTGGTCTCAAAAAACAGAGACAGCTCCTATGGCTGTCAAGACTAATAGAGAGACAGTTTTTGACCGGGTTAGATCTGGTACCTCAAGACTGGAACTCAAGGATGGAGGATCTCGAACAGTAAGTGACAGTTCTCGTGTGAAAAATGAGGATCATCGTTATTACAAGGACAACCTAAGCTCACATTCAAGAGTGCAAAGGTCATCTTACTCAAGCCGTTCAACTAAAAACTTCCATTCGAAGGATTCACGTTACAATCCTTACGCATATGTCCGTAACCAAGCTACATTAAAGAAACGTTGGCAGCCAAAACAAAACCAACCTCTGAAGATCACTGAGCAAAATCGAAGAGAAGAGGACATGGAAACAGTTAATCAAACACGAACGCCTAAGTCAATGACAACATCTAGGACCGATGCTCCTCCTATGGGAGAAGGTACGGTGTTGAATATTATGAAGGAGAGTAACGTCACTATAAGAGCACCCCAAGACAACAACTCCAACAGACAGACTGTTGATCCGCTGAGGATGATGGACGATCTTATTCCCCCCTCTGATGCCCTTCAAATTGATGCGTTGAATGATGTGGAACAGGGGAATGAGGAGGGACTTCTACCAGATACAGAGATGCAAGAGACAACCACCGGTAAAGAATTGATGTTAATGGAGGAATACAACCTGCTTGGGGAGGAGCATGAAGATCAAGAACAAGCAGATCAATTACATGGTGTTAATCAAGAGGCTGAGAAAAAAAATGAGAAAGATTATGCTGTGGAAGACTCAGCACAAAAGGCTTTGACACGGAGTGTGGCACGCTCTTTGTTTACAAGCTCTCAAGTATCTCAAGAACGCCGTGCATCGCCTCGCCTCAATGAGAATCATTCAAGTAATGTAGTAGGAACAACACGGGGAAGAGGAGGCAGAAAAAGAACCACGGTTCAAAGACAATCTAAGACAACAACAGGCACTCAAAAAAGGGGTTTGCTGGATTCCAAATATCCACCAAAACTTCATTAATGAAGACACTGAGTTGGAACTGTCGAGGGATAGGGAACAACCTCACAGTTTGACGCCTCACTGAGATGTGTCAGAAGCATCGCCCAGGACTCTTGTTCCTTTCTAAGACGAAGAATAGGAAGCTGCTGTTGCATAACATTTAGGCTGACTTAGGTTTTAATAAATTGTTTACCGTTGAGCCTCTTGGCCAGAGTTGTGGTTTAGCTTTACTTTTTATGGATGAATTTCAAGTTGATGTTTTATTTTCAAATAATCGAATGATTGATGTACAAGCAGTTATTAATGGAATAAAAGTCTATATGACATTTTTTATGGAGACCCTGTCAAAAACAGAAGAGACCAATTTTGGGAATGTCTTACGCGTTTCGCAAAAACAAGAGATGGACCATGGTTCATGATTGGAGATTTTAATGAAATAACTGGACACCATGTAAAAGAAGGAGGAAAAAGGAGATCTGATACTTCTTTTCTCTCCTTCAACCAAATGATAGCTGATTGTGGTATGCTTGAATTCCCATGTACTGGGAATATTCTGTCATGGTCTGGTAAGAGGAAACGTGGTAATGTCTGATGCAGGCTCGATCAAGCTTTAGGCAATGAAGGTTGGCATGACAAGTTCCCTCACTCCAAGGTTCATTAACTTTGTGTGTGGGGATCGGATCATCATCATATAGTTGGAGAAATACTTTCCAGACCAACAAAAAAAAATAAGAGTTTCAAATTTGATAAACGGTGGCTGGATAATGAGGAGATCCGTCAAGTGATTCTGGATGGTTGGAATTCGCCAGATCTGTTGCCTAATGCGAATATTATGGATCACATCTCATGTTGTCGCAGAGCTTTGGGAAAATGGAAGAGAGAAAAATATATAAATGCGGCTAATCTGGTCGAAGACCTTAAGGAGAAGGTTGATAACCTTTACTAGGATGATAATGCCACAACAGAAGAGATAGGAAAAGATTTAAAAGAACTTACAGAAGCTCTTAAGGCTAAGGAGAGATTTTGGAAACAAAACAGCAGAATTTTATGGCTCACAGAAGGGGATCTGAATACTAAGTTCTTTCAGGCTATCACACCATAGAGACGAGCCAAAAATAAAGTTACAGGTTTGCTAGATTCTGCTGGGAATCTAGTGGAGGACGAGGAAGAGCTAGTGGGCATCGCAACTAGTTACTTCAGAGAATTATTTGAATCCTCCAATCTTGAGCTCATTGATGATGCCTTAGCAAATGTTAATTCAACGATCACTGACCAACAGAATGAAAGCCTTATGGCTCCAGTTTCAGAATGAGAGGTAAAGCTTGCCCTTTTTGCAATGCATCCAAAAAGGAACCGGGACCAGATGGACTAACAGCTTTATCCTATCAAAAATTTTGGCACATTGTCAAGGAAGATTTAACTCGTATGGTTAATGAATTCCTTTTCGATGGAATTATGGCGGATGGTCTTAATGATGCAAATATTTGCCTTATCCCAAAGAAAGAAAAGCCAAATGAAATGTCTCAGTTTCGGCCTATTTGTCCCTGCAATGTCAGCTACAAAATTATATCTAAGGTCTTATGCCAAAGACTAAAGAAACTTCTGCCTGATCGTATATCTGAGACGCATTCAGCTTTTTTTCAGGACCACATATAACTGATAATGTATTGATAGCACAATAAATTTTTCATGCTTTGCAGACAAATCCAAGGGGGAAAATAGGAGAATGGCAATCAAGACAGACATGAGCAAAGCCTATGACCAGTTAGAATGGAAGTTCATAAGTACTGTTATGAAGAAAATGGGCTTTTCTGATCTATGGATTGAGTGGATAATGCGATGTGTAACATCTGTAAAGTAACATATTCTGTCAACCGAGAGGAAATAAAGTTCCCCACAAGGGACTACGTAAGGGAGATCCTTTGTCTCCTTTCATCTTTATCTTATGCACGGAAGCGCTCGTTCGCCTTCTACATCATGAAGAGTCTCAAGGGAAGATAATGGGGATGCGTGTTTCACACGCTATCCCCCCGACATCACACCTTCTCTTTGCTGATGATAGCATGCTCTTCTATAAGGCGGAGACCCGTGAATGCGATGAAGTTATGAAAGTAATTAAAAAAAATATGAGAGAGTGATATACCATGATTTTGACCCGATTTTAGCTATGGTATTGACATGTTTTTATGAGTTTTATATATGTTTTGGAGTCTATTAGGTATGTTTTCCGGTTCAGGAGCACTTTGGAGTAAAATGATGATTTAGGGGCCCTTTTGGAGCTTAAAGGAGAGTTTTCCAAGATGACTTTGAAGATCAGACAATGAGGATACATATCGATCGATACACACCCTGTGTAATCGATCGATGACGCTTCTATTGAAGATGAAGTCGAGATACTCCATCGATCGATGTACACCATGTACCATCGATTGATATGATGCCTGGAGAACAAGTTCAACTTGGCCGACTTGAAGGCCAAGTCTTCCCAATATTACAATAATGCCCCTGACGAGTTTTTAACCTAATGGAACTCATATTTATAGTTTTTGCCATTGTGTTTGGCTAGACATGCTTGTGATACCTTTTATACTTTTACATGCTTTGCATGCCTTTTGAATTTTCTATTGTTCTAGTTACTTTTGTACTTGAAAAGCTTTGCATACTTTTCCTGTTACTTTGTTCTATTCTATAAAGTATTTCTTTTCATCTTAATTTCTTAAAGGTTATAGAATTCTAGATTTAGAGGAAACACACAAAGAGATTTGTTGTTCCAACAACCAAAAGTTCAATCCTCTAATCTATGAGTTTCTATTATTACCTAGTTGTTATGAATCTCTCAGCTATGTCTGAGTAGATTTCGTTGTTAGATTTAGGATTCAAATAGTTATGAGGGATTAGCCCCAACTATGGAATGTAAAATTGTTGATATTCATTATCCAAATGAACCCTAATGCTTACTCTAGAGTAGCTATCTACAGTATGATCATGGATGTGATTTAACTTGTTAATCATTGTCCTGAAATCATTTGGCATGAGCTTAGATCCTCTAGGGTTGTGCGAGAGCCGGTCTATGATCTTGGTGAACACAGTTTTGATTCGATTTTATGATATATCGATCGATACTCCTGTAGAGTCATCGATCGACGGCAACCTATATCGTCCGATATAGGGATCTTACCATCGATCGATATTGCCGGCAATAAGATCAATGGATGTGTCTATTTAGAGACTGCTATTAGATCTATCTAAGAATCAAAGTTCTCATATATCTTGCAAGCAATTCATTGAAACATCTATAGCATTATAATCCTGATTATATGAATAGCAACCTTGAATCTAACTACTTTCTTTTATTGTTTCAAACCTAAAACCCATTCTCTTAAGCAACTTACCATTGCTTACAAAACTGCAATTTCACTATTTTAAACCTATTTAACCTAGCATAATCATTTAGGATTGTATCTATTGTGTTCCTTAGTTCCCTGTGGATTCGAACCCTAAGTACTAAAACTGAACCTCTTATTTGAGAGAGTAATTCACTTCTTAGGTTTAAACATTTGAGTGATATCGAATTAAGCGCCGTTGCCAGGGAACTTTGATAACATTAGATTTAAACTGATTAGCTATAGGTTATTTTTCTTTTATTGTTTAATTATCTTCTGACACCAAATTTTTTTTTTCTTGTCTTTTTCAGATACATGCCCAGCAGTACTAGAAGCAATAAGAACAAACACCTTTTGTACTCAGAAGATCCTCACGGCTTGGAACATAGCATCCGCAAATACCTACGCTCCTCATTGATCGACATCAACACATCTCTGTTGACCGATACTTGCCTACCACAGTCGACCGAGACACCTTCAACGTCGACCGATACTCTCACCACCACATCGCTCGACATCAACAACCGTTCGTCGACCGATACCTTTCATCCGACATCGATCGATATACCTCATCTTACATCGATCGATACTAACCGGCGAGACATGGTAGCGCCTATTATTCTCACTGCCGATGAGAATGGAGACCTGCGTGATCGAGATAGTCACCTGCGTAATGCAGCAGGTCAGAAGCTGAACGCTCAAAAGGAGATCATACCTGAGCAAGAGACTGCATCTACAGACATCATTCAACTTGTAGAAGAGGCTAACCAAGCTAGACTTTGGCTGACTACAACCGTCCAGATCAGTTCTATTCCAACCGATCAGCCATCCCCCCTCCTGCTATTCAGAGAGGAGATTTCGAGCTTAAGCCGCAGTACTACACCCTTGTAGGACAAATACCCTTCTGTGGGTTGTCCAATGAGCACCCTAAGGACCATTTGGAGAGGTTCGAGGATCTCATAACCGTCATAAAAGCCAATGGAGTCCCTGAAGACTATCTTCTCTGCAAGCTTTTCAAGTACTCTCTATCTGGAGATGCTTTGCAGTGGCTTAGACAACTACCTCCAGGTTCTCTCACAACCTGAAGTGACATCAAGAACGCATTCCTGCGTAACTTCTTTGATGAGTCACGCGCTGAAGAATAGAGGAAAAAGATTGCTACATTCACTCAGAATCCTGAAGAGTCATTCAAAGATGCATGGAATAGATTCAAGTCCTACCAAAGAGATTGCCCACACCACGGTTTCAACAAAGTGCAACTTCTTTGCACTTTCTACAGAGGCATCACATTGGATTATCAGAGAGCTCTTGATACAGCAAGTGAAGGCAACTTCAACACCAGGAATCCACAAGAGGCTATGAAGCTAATTGATAATTTAGCTTCCAGCAACAGCACGAAGAACTTCATGAAGACAAAAGCCACATCATTCCTTTGGAAGGAATACATCAATGAAGTACAAGCACAGCTGGATACCATTCAGAAGTTACTAAACAAGCAGATCTGTTTAGTGGAGGATGCAGAGACTGCAGGTGAAGATTATATAGAAGAAGATGTGAACTGGGTCAGTGGAGCTGGTTTTCAGAGGTCTGGTAACCAAGGAGGATACATAAACTACACAGGCCAGAGAAGGAACTTCAACCAGAATTCACAGAAGCCCAACACCTTCAGCAGCAGCAACCCCAACAACAACATGAGCTATGGAAACTCATTCTACTCCAACCCACACCCACCCACCCAAGAAACTAAACTGGAAGAGATGCTTGACAAGGTCCTTGAGAGTCAGCAGAAACTCTAGACAGACTTCAATGGGAAGTTCGACTCCGTCTACAACACCCTCCAAAAAGAGCTAGATGGTTTAAACACCCATATGAGACTCAGGTGTTTCAGACAGTAGAAGCCCAAAGGAAGCAGGAGCTTGCCAACAACAATACCATCAATACCATCCTGGATGATGATTTTTGGCAAGAGGTAGTAGAAGAGATTCAGCAATCTGATGATGAGAGAGACTTCGTTCGCGACTATTATCGATCGATATCACCATGTAATCATCGACCGATACCTTCCCATGTACATCGATCGATAGACTTTGATGAGTGTCAATCGATGGACTTAGACGAGTACCCGTACGAGTGCAGTACCGCCCAGACTATGACTCACGAAGCTTTTGCAGCACGTCACCCACATCCACTCATCCCTGTCAAGATCGAACCACAAGAAATCTACCGACATGATTACCCTCCTATCAATCGACAGGAAGACCATGCTATCGATCGACGCACCCCAGTTAGTGTCGCCCGATACACGGTACCCCACCGCCAAGTGCATCTCCCAAAGATAGATGATGCACGTATTGACACATTCTGGGAGCGATATTACAATACTAGAAGCCCTCAGAAAGCCATCTTGGAGAGACCCACGGATATCTTTGAGTCCATGGAGATAGAAAAGGAAACTACTAGAAGAGTTCTCAGAAAAAGGAAAGAGAAGATAGCAAATCCTTATAAAAGGGAAGCTAATGAGAAAGAATTGTCAAGCTTCAGGAAAAGAGTTCTCAGAATACCTAAAGAGAAACCTTTTGAAGAAGCCTACTTTTCACACAGATTGTGGATGTTTTTCAGAGAAACAAAAGAGACAGAAGAGGACATAAGGAGGATGTTTCATCAAGTCAGAGACAGTCTTAAGAAGAAGACCACACTGGACAAGAAGAGCGATCCAGGGAAGTTCACAATACCATGTTCTATCAGAGGTGTTGAATTCCCTCGTGCTCTATGTGATACAGGATCTGGAGTCAGCATCCTACCCAAGCTTATGGCAGACCAGCTAGGTCTGAAGATCGAGCCTAGTGAAGAATCCTTCATCTTTGTGGATTGTTCTCAGCAGAGCTCTGAGGAATAGTTAGAAACCTTGAGGTACAGATTGGAGAAACCCTAATTCCTACAGACTTCCATGTCCTAGCCAACAAGCTCAACTTCAAGACTTCTCTACTACTTGGAAGAGCCTTCTTAGCCACAGTTGGAGCCGTTTGTGATCTCAAAACCAACAAGCTCTGTCTAACACTCATCAACCCTACCATCCACTACAATCTTGTTCCAGTCATCAGGTTTCCAAGGATGAAGAACCCAGCACTCGTAGCAACATGTTTCTGTGCCCCCGAGTATGATTCCATGGCCGAGTATGAAACCGATCCAGATCCATCGACCGATGGCAGTCTTCTACCATCGACCGATACCAGCCAACCCAAGTCGACCCATGAATACACATGGTCATCGATCGATACGCTATTCCAGAAGATTGAGGAAGAGTTTCCAGATGGCGATTTTGGCACCAATGATTGGGTGAACGATCATTACATGCCCGAGCTAGCTAGCATCACTACTCAGGAGGAGTACGATGCGGATTATGAAGAGGAAAGAGCCACCGAATATAGATTTCTTCGAGAAGACGAAGCCAGATTTCCCTTCCCATCGTTCATCTTCAGCCCATCGATCGATGGTAACCCTTCCCCATCGACCGATATGCCCCAACCCAGATCGCTCAAACGGCGTTTTGAATCAATGAGCGAAGAACCTAACTGCGCACAAGTCTATGTCCCACACGAACCACGAGATGGAGATTACTCGATTGGAAGCTGGGCGAGCAGTTATCATGAGAGTTTTGCAGTATATACAGCACCACTACCATCAGCGATATGACCTGAAGCACCCGTATCGACCGACACGGAGCACCAGCCATCGACCGACATGTTCCTGAACAGATCGACTGATGCACCAGCCCCACCATCGATCGATTCAGCATCAACACCATCCGAGGTACAAACACATACTTTCGATTTTACTTCACTAATTCCGGATGAATATGGTATTTTCAAGGATCCAAAAGTTCATGCACGAGCACTATATGGAAGAATCATTCCGATATCCCAAGAAGACGTTGCAGACATCCTTCAGATGGCTAATGGACCAGTCAACCCCTACACCCAACCACCCTGCTACCCTAACGATCAGCACCAATTTCAGCGAGCATCGACCGATGCATGGTAACAAGCATCGACCGATATACAACACGAATTTGGAAGAGAGCTTTCAAACACGGCGTTCGTCATTTCTCCTGGGAAAAGAAAGACAAATTTGGTGTCTACAGATATGAAGCTGGTTATGCCAGAGAGGTCAATGGAGATATCATCCATGTCTACAA